CCTCATGGTGACTTTTGCCGACGAACTTTGCATCAGCTCCTCTTCCCCCCTACCCCCGTCTTCCCAAGAGTTCAGCCGCCAGCCTCCCGCAGGCACATTCCCACGCTGCCAGCCAGTGAACCGCCCGGCTGCGGACCGCGTCTTCCATCGCCTCCCATGGAGGAACTCTTCTCGGCAGAGACTTCCGAAGCCGCCGTGGACTTCCGAAGCCGCTTCGGACGCTCAGCGCAGCGCCCTTCCCGCTGTCCCCGCTCCGCACCCCGGGGCTGAGCCCGTCCGACCGCAGCCGTGCGTGCCGTGCTGCCCGCTCTCCGACTCCCGGTTCTCAGCGCCTCCCCGCTCCCCAGAGTCCCTGAGAATAAGAAGCGAGCGCCTAAAGCAGCCCGGACGGGGACGGGAGTCCGAAGAGGTTTCCGAGTGAGCCAGCTCGGAGCGCTGGGTGAGTTCGGAGCCGGTGGTGAGGAGGTTTACACTGGAAAGGAGATTGTTGGCCCCTAATCCTCAATTACAGGGGTTTAAAAATAGTATTAGAGGGGCAATCTGTTCGGCAACTTCTTGGAAGAAATAATTGTTGATTTAGATAAGCGCTGATCCCCTCAGTGTTTGATGAAGATGTTAATTTATGGCTGTCTGGCAGTTTATAGCTGTCATTAGACGTTCAGCTTTGTCTCTGTTCGAGTGCGTCTTTCTCTTTATTTTCAAACGGTAAGCAAACGGTTGTGTTGGAGCTAAACCGCATCACTTCCCTACGGCATCTCAAATTATACACAGATCATAGTTCTTACATGCGCGTATATGAATTTAAAAACACAGCAGTAAAGTGCTCGAAACAGACCATCAATTCACTTCTTCTTTTATGACACGTTTCGGAGTCGGGCTGCGAGGACAAGGGCAGCGGGGAAGGAATTAACCCCTCCGAGGCTGCGGGACGGCCGCGTCGGGGCAGAGTCCGAACGGCCCCGGGGGGGCGACGGAGCGGGGGGGAGGAGGGGTTGGGATGCGAGGACGCGGGGCTGATGGGGACGCGGGGACAGGGGCTGATGGGCGGACGAAGGGACTCGGGGATGATGGGACGACGGGCTGCTGCCCGCGGCTCTGGGCTCGGCCCTTTAGCTGCGATGCCCCAAGTTTTGTCCCGCCCCGGCCGGGAGCGGCTCTGCTGGGAACCTCGGTCCCCTTCTGGCCTATGGGAACGCAAGCGACGCTGGAGAGAGAGCTGTGGGGTCCCGAGTCATTGATTCTGCATCCCCAACATCCTCTCGTCAGCACCAGAACCCGAGTGTTAATTGCCGCAAAGTTTCGGAACACGTGGATAATTTACTTTGACTGCCGCGTTTTAATTAAAAGCAAACTTATTTATGTTTCCGATGTTTATATTGCGCGATTTAATTACGTTTAGAGTCAGCGTCGTACTTCCCTCTCCCCTCCCCCCCTTCCACTCTAAATCACATTTTCATTAAAGGTTTTAATAAGAAAACTCACTTGACCACTATCCGTTATGCGGTCCCTCCATGCACACAAGTTCACTTACCCATTCATTTAGTCACTTACTCATTCCAGAAGATCCGCCGCCACTGCTGCTAGCAGGGATGTGAACACTCATAATTATTTGTCAAAGTCTGGAAAGTGTATTATCCCTTCTTCTAGTGGTAATTAGTTACCATAGCATCTAATACGTAAATGTGCCCAGAGCACACCATTAACAGTTAAGCGGAGGATTCAATTTAACACATGATTATATCTTTCATAAGTCATTACATTAGGAAAGCCAATGTCACTCATGCTGGGACCATTTCGGGCTCAGAGCCGGGGTAAGGGCCGGGAAAGTGTCCGAGGTGGAGAGATGCGGCGCGGTGCGGCTGCCGACATGGGGGGCTCTTTGGAAGGGGCCACGTTTCTTTCTATCAGCCAGGCATTAGGCGGGGCGGGGGAGGCTCTGCCAGCGCTGCCCGGAGACGCTGCAGGAGGATACAGGGGGTGACAGCACCCGTCACCACTCTGTCCCCTCGGAAAAAGCCTGGAGGTGACAAGAGAGCTCCCAGGGCCGGCCTGAACGGCAAAGCGTTGGCTTTCCGCTTCCCTCCCTCCTCCGCCCCGCCGGCGGAGCCAGGACAGGGGAGCGGGAGGAAGAAACCTCGGCCACGTCCATCTGCAGGAAAGGAAGAAGAGAGGTTAACGGAGCGGCGGTGGGAGCCGCTCACCCCTCCGGCCCCGACAGGGAGCGGCAGCCCCCGCAGCCCCGCAGCCCCCGGCCCAGCTCGGGAGTTCCTCCGGCAGCCGCCGCCCCGACGTGACCCCGTCGAGGGGACGGCCGCGGGCAGCCCTCTAGGAAACCAGAGGTACCGAGCGCTGAGTCTTGAAGCAAATGCCTCCCCGATGCTGTGAGCACACGCACACACACACACACACGGGCACGCACCACGCCAAGCTGGTGGCGGTGGTTAATTCCTAATCAGAATGATGGACAGCAGAGACGGAACAATACAAACTAATGGCTGTGTTGCTGATCACTTTACCCCTTGATTAAAGACACCCAATTATGGCGCAGAACAGTGTCGTAATTATGTTCCTTAATCACATCCAGGAGGTTTAATTGCCTTAACGATGTGTTTCATTAAATGAATTTAGGTATTATAGTCGACAGTTTTCATACACAGTTGTTTTCAAATTAACATAATATTAGACATCGTCATGGAAATTGTTTTAATAATCATAATTAGACGCACCCAGCCTTTGTCTCGCAAATGCTGAGAGACGCTGCTCCCGGCGCCCGGGGGCTGAGCTGCCCACCCTCTCCGGGCCGCCTTCCCACCGCTCCGTGGCACTTTACAGTTATGTTTCCTGAAAAGTTACAGGTTCTGATTAATCTTTTCTGATGGGAAGTGGAGCGGAAAAGATTGATCCCCTTCTCCCCCCTCCCCCTGTGCGGGGCTGCCGACGGGAGCGGCGGTACGGAGGGCACCGGCCCGGGGGGGGGAGGGAGGGGACGGCCCCAAAACTCGGCGGGGACGGGGAGAAGGGGGTCTGGAGTGGCAGTCGGGGCCCGACGTGGGGGGAAGAGCTCCGAGCAGGAGCACCTCATCCGGAGGCAATCCAAGGCTGCGGGGGGGAGGCACTGGGGAGCAAAGGAAAGGAGCCATCCCTCCACATACCCCTTCTCCCCACCCCCCTCGTCCACCTCCTTAAACCTGGAGGTAAATGTTTAATACAAAGCACAGCGCGATTACAAACGTTTGTTCAAAATATTTTAATAAAGATTCTTTCCGACATAGATACACATACAAACGATCGTACATTGCTGTCATAATCTGATTGACCTATTTAATATATATCACTCTTTACACATCCGTGACCTGCCAACAGATCCATCACGGCTCCCATTGCGCCATCCAACCTGACAGTCCGAATTTATATTATCTGCGAGGAGAGGAAAATAGCAGGACTCGGGGTTGGAAAGAAAAGAAAAGAATAATTACAAAATCCGGATTTACAACTGGCAGAGAGGCAGCACCCAGCCATGCAAACTCAAGCGGAAGGCTCACTTTGGGGAAATAGCTCCTTCTTGCTCTTCATCTTTCTCCCCCCCAGCCTCCAACCCCCCCCCAAAAAAAAAGCCCATCCCGCCCTCCCTCCCCAACCCCCCAAAAAGAAAAGAACTCCCCGCTCTCGGGAAATCAGCCCAAAGTATTTTCAAGTGTTTCAACTTCAAGATTATCATCCACGGTCGGAAAGGAATTACATACACATTAAAAGCGGTCCAAACGATACCTCTGCAAACACAGCGCCCTGGGAAACATTGGCGATATTCGCATAGCAGCTTTTGCTCTGAGCCCGGGAAAAGGGAACGGCCATCACCTGCCCTAACGCAAAGCCCTTTCCCAAATCAGTGGCCGAGCCACGAAGAATACACCTTTCCTGTCATTTTTGGACTGAAGCGATTTATTAAAGCTCAATTGAAATACAGGGATGATGCAACTCAAAAATCCAAGATGACCTTTCAGAAACCTCAGCAGCTCGGGTACAGCAACAGTTCCGGTTATACGGTGTTGGCAAATAAACGCTTTCAACACTTGGCACACAGTTTTAAGTTCATCCATAAACAGAATTTTAGAAGCATTATAAAGTAATCGCACAGAAGACCCCTGACCTTAACACATGAGAACTACCGGCGGGGCGGGAGGGTCACCCAAAGAAGAACAAATAAATACGTCCCGTCTGTACAGCGCTGCGGGTGGGGGAGGACGAGGTGCACACAGATCCCTCGTTCAGAAACGCGGTGCTTTCAGCCACACACGGAGGAGGGGTTCGGATCGGGGATTTTTTTTGCCTTTTTTTTTTTTTTTTTTTTTTAAATCTCTCTCGGTATTTTTTTTCTATTTTTTTTTTTTTTTTAAATCACTCTCACCAAAACTTTGCGCATTTGCACGGGATCAAAGTTTCGAGACGCTAAAAAATACAAAGTCTTCCATAAGCAATGCTCCAGTCTCTTTGTTTCTGCGAGTCGCTTAAATAAGAAGTTTACATTTCAAGTTTGTTTGTTTCCTGGCTCAGAAGAATTATAATAATACTGCTAATAATTAAAAAAAAAAAAAAAAGAAAGAAAGAAAAAAGAAAAGAAAAGAAAAAAACCTACGTTCGCGTGCCCTCTCTGATTTGTCCCATCCACCTCCGCTCCCCATCACCTGGACCGCTCGGTGCTGGGCGGGCCGGGACACGGCTCCGCTCCCCCGTACCCGCGCTCCGTCTCCCTCCCGGCCGCTGTTTCTCAGCCGCCCCATTGTCCGGACGCGAAGCGGCCCCCCTGGGGCTCCCCGCTGCAGGGCTCGCCCCCCGCCGCCCCTTCTCCCGCCCCGGCCCCCTCCCGCGGCCGTCCCGTCCCGGCGGAGCCCGCGGAGCGCTCGGAGCGGAGGGCGGCGGAAACCCGGGCGGCTCTCAGTCCCTCCGCCGCCCCCGCGCCCCCCGGCCCGGCCCGGCCGCGGCCCCCCGGCGCCCTTCCCTTCTCTCTCATCTCCCCGGGGTCGCGGCGGAGGCGGAGGCGGCGGCGGCGGGGCTCGGCGCGGCTTAAGGCTTCTCCGTGCACTGTTTGCAGAGACTGGAGGAGACGCTGTTGAAGATGGCACATTTCTCCGGGCAGGAGGTGGCGGGAGGCAGCCCGGCGCTGAACGGGTACCCCGCCGCCTGCTCGTAGGCGCCGAGGGCGGGATGCAGCGCGGCCGCCGCCGCCGCCGCCGCCGCGGCGGAGCTGGGCAGGGAGGCGGCCGAGATGGCCTGGCCCTGGTTGAGATAAGCCACGAGGCGCCGCATCTCCTCCAGGGCCTGCGCCTGCATGAGGATGTAGTTCTTGGCCAGCAGCAGCGTGGCGATCTTGGAGAGCTTCCGCACCGAGGGGCTGTGCGCGTAGGGGATGACGGCCCGCAGCTCGTCCAGCGCGTCGTTCAGGTCGTGCATCCGCCGCCGCTCCCGCGCGTTGATGTTGAGGCGCAGCGCCTTCTGCTCCTTGGACTTCTTGCTGCCGCCGTGCCCGTGCCCGTTGGAGCAGCCGCCCTCGGCAGCCTTCAGCCCCCCGCCCCCCCCTCCTCCCGGGCCGCCGCCGCCGCCGCCGCCCGCCGCCGGCGAAGCGTCGCGCGGGTCCCCCCCGGCGCCGCGCAGCAGCAGCTCGCAGCGGCCGTCGCTGTCGTCGTCGGGGCTCTGCTCGCCGCCGCTGCTCTCGGCCACCGAGCTGCGGCTGGCGCTCTCGCCGTACTTGACGCAGACGGAGCCCGGCGGCAGCGCCAGCGGGTCCCCGCCGACGCCGGGCTGCAGCAGCGCCTCGGGCTCCGGCGCTTCGTAGCAGGCGAGCGGCGAGGGCTGGCGGTCGCGCGGGTGGGAGAGGTCGAGCCCCGGGGGCGAGCGGAAGGCGGACTCCATGCGCTTGGCCGAGGCGGCGAGGCTCTTGTGGAAGAGGTCCTCTTCCGCGGGCAGCCCCAGCGCCCGCTCCATCGGCGCCTCCGCCTCCTCCGCCCCCCTCAGCTCCCGGCCCGCTCCTCCAAGGCTCCTCCGCGCCGCGGCGGGCGGCTCCCCGGCGTCCCGCGGGCGGAAGGCGGCTCCCGGCTCCCGGCGGGGCTGCGCCGCGCTCGGTGGCCCCGCTCCGTTCCGGGCTCCGGCGACGGCTGGCGGTGCTCCGGCGGCGGCGGCTCCCGCTGCAGCTCCGGCTCCGGCTCGCCCTCAGCAGGCGCCGCGCTGGGGCATTGTGCGCTGCCAGCCGCGCCGCTTCCACCGTTTATCTTGCTTGGATTCACCTTCAAGAGATTTCCGGACCCATCAACCAGCAGCCGCCGCAGACGGGGGAGTCTTTTACATCATTATCTCGGAGAGTAGGTTATTATGGAGAAGAGTCGCCTGTTGGGACAGAGCTTTCTACCCAATCAGGTTAACGTTTTAATTAATAGGATTAAAACGGTAACAAACAATCCCAGGCGCTATCTGGCCCCGAGTCTGAATAGTTTCATTTCCCAGGTCTGCAGGCAGGCAGCAGCCCGAGCTTTATAAGCGGCGCCCGCTCCATTATTCTCGCTGCCATCTGTATACACAGCTTAACGCATATGTTTGCAAGACGTTGTGTCCTGTTAGTAACCCAACAACTGCCTTTAGCTTGACATGTGTGGCGACTTTCACTCATCAATGAGCACACTAAAAGCCCTACTTAGATCGAAGGATGTTCTTTGCCTCCTTCAGCAAATTGCAGCCCCGCGCCGCGCCGGAGCCGCCCGACTCCCGCTGCCTCGGCCGTGCGGGCGGAGGGACACCCTCTTCCCCCCCCCCCCCCCCCCCCCCCCCCCCCCCCCCCCCCCCCCCCCCGCCCCCCCGCAGCCCACCCGCCCCCCGCGTTTACATCCACTCAGAGCCCCCTCCCTTCCCCCCCCTCCCCGAGGAAGGGAAAAGAAAAAAAAAAAAAGAGAGATAACTGAGAAGCCCCGGCCCAGCTCGAGCCGAGGTGCTCCTGGGGGCGGGGGCGGGGGGTCCCAGCCTTCTCCACCCCCACCCGCAGAGAGACACCGAACCGCGAGGAGGTTCCCCTCCTCTCCAAGCAGCAGATTGCCGCTTGCTAATGCTTATCCCGCACGTCCCTATGGAAAAATAAATCCCCGGCATTTACCTCGGTCCGGGGAGGAGAGAGGACAAGAGAAAGCCCCAAACCCACTAAGTAAGACCCGAACCTACCAAGACGGCCCCGAACCCACCAAACTTTTTAAGACGATCCCCCAAGCCTTGACAGCGCCCTCCCTCTCTCCGTCCCTCCCTCGGGGCTCCGCTCCGCTGGCAGCCCGGGACCCCGCACCCCCCGCCCCCCCTCCCGCCGGGCTCCGTCCGCCGCTCCCCGCTGAGAGCCGCTCTCCTTCTCCACTGCGGAGCGCTCTGGGAGCACCCACTATTTAGCGGCGGGTTTTCGTTTCGGCGACATCAGTAAAGACAATATTTCCCAACGCTTCCACTAAATCATCCTTATGGGGCAGAATTACCGAGGGCTATGAAATTTTTTGGTTTCCCCGCTTTCATTAAAAACCTTTTAATTGTGTCTTTCGGAGTTGGCCCCAGGTGTTGGACTCTTTTCATTACATTTTGCTCTAATGTGATGAAATTCTAATTCTCTCCTTACCATATGGTTAAATTTCCCCACTGAGAATTAGTTGAAAAAGGAGAAATAATCTATTAATCTCTATAATAGATTCACAAATGAGCTTTGCCACAGAACCTGTTTTTGAATGGTAATATGGGAACAGTTGGGTGCCTTGTTTCAGGGAAGAAAGGAGCAGGCGACAACAGCAAACGTTTGAATTTTCACCTGGAAAGAATGAAAAGGAGCCAAGCTGCGGATCTCCGAGTAATTGACTGAGATTTCAGAGAGCGAGGACAGGACTACAATGCGAACCCTACAATGCACACCCCGGCACTGCGCGTCTCCAGGCCAGACACGGCCATGCTAGCAGGGCCCTGAAGGACGGGTGCCCCAGCCCTGTCCCTGCCCTTGCTGCTCTCCCTGATCCCGGCCAAGCGAGCGGCCACCGAGCTGCCCGCCCCTTGCCACGCTTTAACCTCCATCATTAGCGATCCAAAAGAATTTTGCCTTTTTTTTTTTTTCCCCCCCATTAGCAACTTCCTTTTCCTTGGGACCTTCAACAAAGGCGTTTATCACCGCAGAGTATTTTATTTATTTATTATCTTTATTATTTTTAATCAGAGTCAGCTTATGAAAATCACGCGGTCACTTGAGGATGACGGACGCTGTTACTCCGATTTGACGGCTAAGGGGAACGTTTCACCGCTGGCAGCTTCGAAAACAGAGATCTCCGGCTCCATCCCTCCTCACTCATCGCTTTCACTGCCCCTCCCTCCCTTCTGCCTGACCCTTCGGGGCCCGTGCCGTCGGGCCGGCTGCACTCCCGGCCTCCTCCTCTCCGCTCTCCCCCAGGTGCGCTCTCCCCGTTTGCTGTTTCACTCCATCCGTCCGATCTTTCTGCCCGACCCGTCGCCCGTCTCTCTGCCCGAGCTGTTCGGTAGTCTCAGGAACTTGAGTTTGGGAGCGGGCAGAAGAATTTATAGAAGCTCTAAATGCGGGGCTTATAAAAATACCGAGGAATGGTTTTTGAGGTTTATGCACTCGTAAACTTTTGCTGATTGCTTCTGGGAAGTTGTCAGGCATTTAACATCGCGTTTATCTTACGGCGCAATGAAAACACATCTGCCCAGCTCCTCGTTACCTGCTTTAATTGCACCGTGGCCCTCTGCCATTGGTTGCGCGTTATTTCGGGGCAGGAGCGGCCCTCAGCCGCAGGAAGGAGCGCGGCCCGGCCCGCAGTGAGCAGCCCGATCGCGTTCCCTCTCCGCCCTCAGCCGGATGGAGCGCAGCGCTGCCGAGGTGGGAGTCAGGCCGAGGGTGTCACGCAGCTCCCGGTCCGCCCCTCTCCGGCTCCAACCCCGCACGCCGGGGCCGGGCTGTCCGAACAGCCACGGGGTTCGAGAAGAGCTCTGCCCTCTCAGCAGATCCCTGAGTTTGTTCTTCTCTCGTTGGCAAAGTTTATGTGAGTTCGAGGTGAAGAAAAAGAAAGGGTTAAAAATAATGAAAATGACGGCCCTGCTGCAGCCCCTCTTAGTGTACAGCCCTCACAGGCGTCTCCGCGGAAGTCTGTGAATTCTCAGCTTGGCAAGGGCTCCATGTAGGGGAGAGGGACGTCCCGGGGCAGGGGCTGCAGGGGGAGCATCTCCCCATCCCGGCGCCGTGAAGCGAAAGGAGAGCTGCAGAGGGGCAGACTCTATAGAGGGGCACAGATGAAGCGTATTGGGGTGAGAGTGCGGCCCCGCTCCTCCAGAAATGGGCGGCCCTAGGTGTAAGGAAGGAAAAGTCTGCAGGGTCGGGGGTCCCCGGGAGACCCCCGGCCTCTAACCGACCCCTTCCCCGCAGACGACGGGCAGAGCCCCGGTCCCGACGCGGCACTCCCGATCCAAAATCCACAGCACCATCTCCTGGGCAGCGGGCGCAGTGCAAGGCTCCTACGAGGCGCCGAGCTCGGCTCGGGCTGCAGGCAAGGGCCGGCGTGGGGTTGGGGGCACCGAGAGGAAATGCCATCTGGCTGAGCTGCTTTGGAAGCCGAAGTCTAGGGAGTAAGAGACGGGTTTGGGTAAGAGTCAAAAGACTGTGTATGTTTTATCTATACATTTACATGTTCTCAAATCAGGAAATGTATGTACTTGAAATAGTCTAGAAGAGCCTGGTGGTATTCCAGTTTCAGAGACAAGACTGGGTGCACACACTCTGAGGCATTACCCTGAGGTTTATGGGGAAAGACCAAAAGATCTAACCTAAATGCAATGTGTGCTCTTCTTTCTTCCCTCCCTCCCTCCCTCCCTCCCTCCCTCCCTCCCTCCCTCCCTTCCTCCCTTCCTTCCTCCCTTCCTTCCTTCCTTCCTTCCTTCCTATCTTTCCTTCCTATCTTTCCTTCCTTCCTATCTTTCCTTCCTATCTTTCCTTCCTTCCTATCTTTCCTTCCTATCTTTCCTTCCTATCTTTCCTTCCTTCCTATCTTTCCAGCCCTCCAAACCAAACTTGCCAGTGCATTTTTTCCTTAGCAAATTGGAAATTGAGTGAGAAATTGAGTGAGCAATATGCAGTGCTTATGTATTTGTTTCAGCCTGAGTTCTGCCCTATGCAGTTCCATCTAATCACTAGGTTTCAGGGCAAGTCTTCATTCTCTGTCCCTTTCAAACACTCCCAAGAAATGTCAGGATGGGTTTCAGCAGGAGTTGGGGCTGAAGCACTGGCCATGAACAGTTGATATTTACTCCTTGTCCATCTTTTATGCTCATGCTCAATTCTATTTTCTTTATATTGGAAACTTTCCACTGTAACAAGTGTGGCACTGAGCTTACTCTCCTCACTCCCATTTGGCTGAGCTGGAGACGTTTATTTTCAGTTAATATTTCATTGCCAATAGGCCCTTCCTTTCCTTTCCCTTCCCTTCCATGCTTCTTGAACTCCTTCCAGTTCACCTTTATTGGTACTGAAAGTACTTAAATTTGAAAGCAGCAGTCGAGGTGCTATCTCATCAGTATTGTGTACTGAGAGAGACATCTATCACTTCCTGGCTATATGACACGATGCCTCTGTGTTACAAGTCCAAAAATTACATTGGTTTTTTTTTTTTTTTTTTCTTGGTCTCACTGCTGGATCTTATTTAATTTACTGAAGCCCATACATCCAAATCTATATGTTGGTAGGCACGTATATTACACCTACTGTGTTCCCTTCAGTCACCACTTTGCAATTATAGGAAGAAAAAAATGCCTGTGTGTGCCTTTCTTCCCTTCTTTATAAATCCATGCTGTTTATTGGCTGTGGATCCATTTTCCCCTAAGTGCTCAGGACTTTTACCTTTTAATATTTTCCCCTCTATATTACTGCAGTCTGAAGTTAGGCTTACCAGATGGTAGATGACAGGATCGCTCTTTCTCTTCCTCTTCCCCTGCCATTTTTAAAGACCAGTAACACGTTCCC